TATGATTCTATGATTTCATGATACGAAAAATGCATTTTTCCTTAAGAATCCCCACCCAACCAGATAGGACAATATACTGTCCCTTGCAGGAAAAGAAAGTAGCACAACTTGCCTAACATTCTGTGGAGCTAAAGAACAAAAATTTAAAATATTAGGCTATTAACCCACCATGCAGATTAAAAGGGTCTTCCCTGCCCTAACCCTCAGCTCCATTTAGCAGGCCCAACAAATCATAGATAACAGACTATAATTATCCTTCCATGTGCAGCTCCTGAGCAATCATGACCCAGTCATTTCTAATGGAGTGCAAAAGCCACTGTGACTGGGGATTTTCTGAAATTCCCCAACATTCGATGGGCAAACCTGCAAATATATGTGGCTGTGCTGGGTTCCCAGTAGGTGGCGCAGTGCTGTGTTTTGGATTTAGTATGAATAATGTTGATACACCGATGTTTTACTTGTTGCCCAGTAGTACATCAAGGACTTTTCAGTCCCTCATGCTCTGCCAGCGAGGAGGGGCACAAGAAACTGGGAGGAAGCAAAGACAGGACACCTGACCCAAACTAGCCAAAGGGGTATTCCATACTACAGCACATCATGCCCAGTATATAAACTGGGGGAAGCTGGCTGGGAGCCACCAATCCCTGCTCATGGGCAGGCTGGGTATCAGTCATTGGATGGTGAGCAATTGCATTGTGCATCACTTGTCTGTCCTGGGTTTTATTCCTCTCCCACTTTTATTGTCTCCCTTATTATTATTGTTACTGTTCTTATTGTCGTTATTGTTATTATTATCATTATTTCCATTATCAAACTGTTCTCATCTTGAGCCGTGTTTTTCACCTTTTTCTGATTCTCCTCACCATCCCACCGGCGCAGGGAGGTGAGGAGTGAGTGAGCCGCTACACAATACTTAGCTGCTGGCTGGTGTTAAACCAGTGGCAGAAGTTTAATGATTCATAAGGAGCTCTTAGAATTTGATATTCCAAAGATGTTATAAAGGAAATTATTATTGCTATCACCATAACTATTAAGAAGAAGAATTAGGCCATGTAAATATTTGTACCCTTTTCTGTCAGTGTTAGAGCGCATAATGAGTTACACTAACAAAACCTACAGTTATTGAGTTAATTTGTTGTTTGGTTTGGTTTGGGGGATTGTTTGGCATGTTTTTAAGAGTGGTATTAAGTAAAAGTTTTCACACCTTTTAAAACTCTTTTTGTCAATTAAATAAATCAGAGCCATTTCAGAACACAGTCCTGCATTAAGCCATCCAAGAGTAAAATCTGACACCTGAATGGGCAGGAATGAGACTGCCAAGATGTCTCTAGGGCAGATAAACTCTGATGTCAAATGCAAATCAGCTCATTTCATGGGGTAATTATCTCAGAAGAATTTGGATTCAACAGCAGCATAAAATCAGAGCAGCAAACGGAAGTCCCTGTAACTGCCTCTGTATATTTCTGCAGGAAACTTTCCAAGGGAATATTCCTCAGCACAAAACCATGTTAGCTTTAAATGCTGTGTGATAATGTGTCTACCTTTCCATCAGGAGATGGAATGATTTAGCACCTCCTAAGAAGTTCTACCCTGAAATTATTAATCTGGCTACTCTAGAGGTCATCCAATCAGCTTGCATGGGGATACAATCAATGAACTGCAGTGAATTACATAAACAAGACTTGAACAATCTGGTTTGTTTTATGAGTTCCTAGATTGTCTTGTGGAGATAAAAGTTCAAGCCTAAGAAGACAGATCAATAAATTGAGAGAGCAAAAGGTGGGTAGAGAATAAAACACAAGAAAAGCAATGGGGTGAGGACTGGATATTCTGCTATAAGGCATTCTGAATAGAAGCACGTTTTTCTTCCCATGTATTTGTGCCCACTCAATTACAATCCAGACAGTGTTTTAACAGCCACCACAGACACATGAATTCTATCTAGTAATAGTTAGTATTGTGAAAAACTACCAAATACCTTTCAGTATGCAAAGCATTTATTCCTTGAGAATAGAACAAGTTCAGCACTAAGGAAACTGGAAAAGAATCTCATCAAGGGATGCTGCTGTGTATATTGGGTAGAAGGAGTACTCTGAAAGAGTGGTGTTACAGCTATACCTGATGATATATTATCAGCAAAGATGACTTAAAAGTTGTGGATAAGAAAAAAGTGGGAGTTCCTCACTGGTGTGTTTAAATCCTTTTCAGTAGAGCTGTTCCACTTCTCCACTGTTGTGGAAATGTCACTCCAACATCCTGTTGACGGCGGTGTGCACTGATTCCCACCCCCAGTGTCTTCACAGGTGATAAGGGATGGCTGGATGTGAAAGAAGACAGAATGGAAACAAAGGAGCATGAGCCAACACTTTGCTGACTTAAAGGTTGAGGCTGCACTCTCTAGGCCAAACAGTGGGGTAAAATAAAATTCAGTATCTCCACTGACTTGTATATCCTGATACCATTTTACCTCCTCTGAGAACTGTGGCAAGTAAATAACTCCTCTATTAAATCAGGACTAAATGTAAAGACACCCAGGCTTTTCCACCAGATATGAGCTACAGCATGCATCTGTCCTGAGTTTACTTTTTCTCAGTGCTTCTTAACTCAAATACTCTGGTTTCATTAAAAGATAATCTGAGCTAATTTAGGAATTAGCATGTTTGTACTAAGTGTGCTCAGAAGGAAGGAAAGGAAAACAAAATCTGCTAGATTCAAATGAATCATCTTGGGGACATGGGTCTCAACTTATCTAAGGCATAGGCACATATGGAACTCAACCCCAGAAAAAAATATCTCCAAGATGCTGGCTCAGTCAGCCAAATGAAGAGAGATGTGATGAACAAAGGTCTGAACGTGATAAACAGTGCAGCCCACAATCTCAGAAATCTCTGATTTTCTCTCCCTGGTAGCTTCCCACAACAAAGCTTCTGCCTTCGTGTTTATGAGCTTCACATACACACTAACAACAACAGATCTAAAGAGCTACATGCGGTTGTGGCACCATGCAAGCAGCAGACATCTTAAATCTACAGGGAGGAAAGAGCCCTCCTGTTTTCCTCCAGGGATCACAATGAATGATGGAAAGCGAAAGCCAAGGAGTGATCACAATGCTAGCTCCCTGCTTGAAGATAAATATATTTATCACACATAAAATCCCCCATGACCTTGTATCTGCTCAGTACCAGTGGTTACCCTTCCAGTCACTGCACACACACACCTTTGACTGGAGAAAACAAAACAACAGAAACCTTCCACTCACAATGTCCGAGATAGGCTGCCGGTACAATAACATATTAGCTATCCTAAATGGTCCAGCAACCATTGCCCTCAGCACATAAAAACGGTGCGAGGGGTGGGGGAGGGAGGGGGAATAGAAGACCATAACCCAGAACTGTAATCAAGACACAAACAGAGACATCAACTTTAATCCAACTCCCATTATTACACTGAACAGCATTTCTTAATTATTCATCAAATTGGAGCAGTGTTGCCTTACCCATCCTACAGGACAACTTCTTTTAAGACAGCTCCAACGTGGTTTGCATTAGCCAAGTACAGACGTCTGTATAATGCGTTCTTTCTCTATAGCTACATGCACATCGCTTTAGGGACTTTGCCTTCGTGCTGTCATTGACAGTAACCTTAAGTAATCACACATTCCCTTTGATTAGCCTGTGCTAGCCATGGAAACGTTTCCCCACTGTACCTGACCAGCGCTGCATAGACTGAATAGAGAAATGAGATGGCTGTGTACCCAAAAAAAACATCAAATGAAAATCCATTTGTTGTTTGTTGACACCAACAGATTAAAAAACAAAACAAAAACAAAAACCACCCAACCAAAAAGCCACTTAAGTTACCTTGCATATTGCTGTATCAATCCAGCACTTGCACTGTAATTAGCATACATAAAATGGATAGTAATCCATAATATCCTAGGAAAAAATCAGGTCACTTTGCTGACTTATTCACTTCGGTTTATATTTTTAATTATTATCATAATTACCTCCAGTATTACTCCAATATATTCCTCAAGCTAAAGGCCACAATCTGTTTACCAGCAGATTAGACGCAGAGGAAAGATGCTGACTTCCAGGGAGTTCTTCCAAACCTGCTTCTATGTAAGTGGGACCCACAAACACCGGTATGCCACTAAACAAATCTCTGTCTTTTTCATGCATTTTCCAGTCCTGAATGGCATGTTGCATTATCTTTCTCTTCCTGTCTGTAAACTCTTCAGATTCCAATACATACCTGAACTGTTCATGTTAAATTCACAACACAGCGGTAAAGAGTCTGTCCTGTATGCTATTCCTCCGACTTAAGATGTGCTTTGCATAAAGATGGTATTATTAGAACCAGCTGTTCAAATACTGATAAGGAGAAGTGCGCAGAGGCATGCAAGCAGGGGTCAAAGTCACATTAACAGCAATTTTTACTACTACCCCACAGTAAAAAATAGAGAAGTACTGGTGCACTGCTTGAAGGGTGAATCAGAGTTTCTGCGGCAGGTGAGGATGCAGAACTGCAAAGGGAGCCCTAAGCTAAAACATGCCAACAGCAGCACCGGGTCTGTTAGCAATCAGGTTTTATTTACCAGCCATATTGTGTTAAAAACAGACGTGATTCCCATACCGAGCACGTTAACCCGTCACCACTTGCAAAGGGAGATTTATTTGTTTGGAAAGAATCAGATCTATCTCGCGGACGCCTCCTCCGACCCTACAGTTCTAGCTAAGGGCAGAGAGCTTGCATGCAATTCCCCCTATAAGAAGTATTCCCAGGACCCGAGGAGGATGAGGGGAGAGCCGGTAAATCCATGCCACTCGAAGACAAGCCGGTGGTTCCTCTCCGGTAAAGCCGGCTGCGGGAGCGGCGCTTGGCTTTGGCGGCTCCTGGGCAGAGCCCGGCGGCTGCTGCCCTGCGGCCCCTGCCCGGGGGCAGCCGGCGCAGAGCCGCGCTGGTGGAGGTCGGAGGAGAGCCCGGCGGAAAGCACTCACCATTGCAGCAGGGATCCGTCCCGGCGCTGGCGATGCTTCATCCCCGCCGTGCCGGGCGGGGCGGGAGCCGGCGGCGGGGGGACACGGGCCAGTTCCCCGGCGGAACCGTCCAGCCCCTGCCCGCGGTGGAAGTGAGCGACCGCAGCCGGGCTCCCCCCGCCTAGCTCGCACCAGGCGGAGGAGGGGTCGGCGCCTCCGAAGGGAATCCAGATTCCTCCTCCCTCTCTTGCTGGTCATGTCCAGGCTGCCTCTGCTCAGGGGATGGGCCAGGTCCTGGCCGTGAAGGAATTTGCCATGGCTAAATAATAATTAAAAATAATAAAAATAAAAAGGAAACAATCAATCAAACAAATAAAAATAACCAAGGAGAAAAATAAAAGGAAGGGAGGCAGGAGATTTGCAAACTTTTTTTCCTCCTTTTTTTTTCTTTTCTTTTTTTTTTTTAAAGGGGATTATGGTTTGTGCTAGGGAAGCAGGGATGGGAGGGATGGGGTGTGGGAGGAGAAGGGTGTGCAGGCTGGACCAGATGCTCTGCCTGCGAGTCAAGGCTATGGTGTGCTCTCCCCTGTATTGCTGTGTGTGTGATTCTCATACCCAGACAATGCTCTGCAAAGCGAGCTGGTCCTGCGGAGAAATGCAAACACCTCCTCCCCCAAGTGCCTGAGGAAAGCGAAGGGGGTACACAACCAATAGCTTTTCCTTGGATAGTCTCATTAATATGGAGGACAAAAGGAAACCAATGAGGAGAAGCGAGAGGAGGGGTTTATTTAAATTAAGTCTCTTAAATCAATTTTTTTTTCCCTTTTCATTTCCTCCTCCTACCTCCCCCAAATCCTCCTGCTCCGTGTTACCTAAGCACCGTTTTTGCTGTCCCAGAGATTTATTTATATTTTTTTAATTAATGTGACAGTGTCCGCAAAACACAGTGAGTGACAGAAGGGAGAATGGCATCGCTGCTGAGTGAAGGGAGGCAATTTGTCCCTGAGCTGCAGAAAAGTTGATTGCAAAGAAAAGCAATAAAGTAGCTGGAGTGTTGTCAGGGCCAGAAACTGAGGGGAAGCAGAGTGGGAATTTCTAGAAGCACCATTTTGCAGATGTTATTTGCAGATGGGCAGGCAGCCCGTGTCCAGGATGAACCCTCTGTGCTTGTGGAGAGGATCTCCTCACTTCCCATAGCAGACACACACACAGAGAAAGGGAAGTGACTGCATGGGAACCACAGCATCTGCTCCATCCTGTATAGCCTCAGAGCTACACAGCAACAGCAATGCAGGACTTGTACCTGTTGCTGGAAAATCAGTGGAGTAGAGCTGTAGAGAGCACCGAGATGTTTGGGGAGCAAGGAAGGCACATCCAGCTGGTTCCTTTGACTTGTATCTGGGAAAGAGCAGGGTGGTACATGTCACCTGCAAGGTAAGTGCATGAAAGCATCTAGTAATTTTTCCCTTCTGCACAGAGTAGCACTCAAGAAAAGCTCTCCAGACCTAGAAAATTATCACTAAACAAGTCTGAATACCTAGAGGAGGTCCAGAGTAACTGTCTGCCAGAGCAGACACTTCATACCACGCTGCTTTTCCTGCTGCCAACCACGCTGATCTCTGGGCCCACAAATACATGTCAAGAACTTCAGATGCTGAATGCCCACGTCCTTATCCATTCTCTGAGACCTGTACTGATGAGGTTCTTCTAATTACTCTGAAATTTCACATCACCTGGACACTGTTACTCTTCCCATTATGGAAGCCCTTCCGTCTGCTTACCTTTTATCATTTCCCCTTCATTTTATGCATCTCAAATCTTCCATTTCTCTTAGCATGTAAATTGTTTTCAAATCTCCTTGCCTTTAAGATTAGATTAAATGAAGGAGAAAAAAAAAGGCAATTTGGTCATAAAAGCAACGAGATCTATTACCTGCCCAGTGTGAAAGTCTCTGACCCAATTACTTACTTGTATGTTATTGTCACTGTGGCTCTTAGTCCAGGTGCAGGACCCTGAGGGGATATAGCTCCATCACAGAAGCACTGGACCAGACAGCCTTGTTCCCAGTCCCTTGGCACAGTAATAACCCCATGGCAGCATAGATGCCTCCTCTTGAGAAAAGCATGCACAGACACCTTGTGAATGCATTCATCTCTGGTTTTATTCCAGCACCATGGAGCAATCCAAAGAATCAACTTGACTCTTCAAAGGTTTCCTTTGCATATTTTCCTTCAGTTTTACCATCCTCTCTAGCCACATCTTACAGCTTTCAGTAACCTCACTAAATACAAAGGGAAAAAAGAAAACAAACCAAAGACATAGATCTTTATGTTATACAGCTCTGCTAATCAGCCTATGCATTCTATATAGACATTAATGAAGGAGAGGCACTGTTAGGATGTCATCTATTACACCTAGTTTATACATCTTAGTATAAACCACCAGACTAATTTTTCATGAAGTATAAAGGGAGCCAAGACTAACTAGATCAGATGTAGACACCTATTTGTTAGTCAGATCTATCTCAGCAAGTCTCATTTGTCTGCATCCTAATGGGTAAGATGCAGGACAAAGAAACCTCTACAGTAAAATGTTTGTTTCCCCCCCCCCCCCAAAAGAAAATCTATATTCATATGCAGACCTAAAGAAACTTCCCCTCCTCAACAAAATCAACAAAAAACAAGAAAACAACCACAAGAACATGATCAAACCCTAGCTATGTCACCACAAAATTTCCAGAATTCATGGCAGTCCTACCTGAAAGACCAGAAGCCCCACTATGAAATGTTGTCTGGGGTTGCTAGAGCATGGAAGAAGGTTCCCAGCTGTCCAATTAGTATGTGCTGCTCCAACATCTGCTCCCTGTCTTTCCCAGGAGAAGGGCAATTGGCCAAGAGAATCATCTAGTGGCCCATATCCAGCTGCAGTTGGACTGCCTTAGATGATCTCAGCTGATACGCATACCAGGTTTCCTATTGAAGTAGTCAGGACAGTCTACCTAAGAACTTTGAAGGCAACAATTTTCTTTAGGAGAAAACAATTAAGACATTTTCAGGCAAACTATCCTTTATTGTTATCCTCATGAGCAATCTATTAAATTGATCTTCATTATTTAAGTGTGTTTAAAGTATAATGGCCATTATCTTGGCAAGCATGAGGCACTGACATGGAGAAGGCTTCATGAGAAAAAAGTGTGAGTTACTGCCAAATGACCTAGGCAGCCATCCATCATCTTATATAGGGGAAAGACACTGGCAAGCTGGCTGCAAGAGTGTTTGCTGAGACAGGGTTAAAAGTATTTTGTTGGAAGGTCCTTCTTCTCTTTTGTTTTGACACCTCAGGTGTGATTTAGTTAGCCAAACTGCTAGGGCTGAGCTGGCCAACCATCTCTCCCTTCATATTAAGGTCAGATCTTATCTGTGCAGTCACTGGAATATAAGCCATGATCCATCTCAGCCCAAAGCTGAAAACAGCTTTGAGGAACTGTGTCCTAAGTATGCCTGTTCCTCTCCACTGACATTAGACACTTTGAAAACACTAGCCTAGCTTGTTAACACCCACAAAGTAGACCTCTACAATTAGAAGAATCCCTCTTTCACTATTAGGTTTGACAATCCTGAAATATTGAGACTCACCCAGATGGCTTGTTCTCCTCTGCCAGAACAAGAACTATCCCCAAATGATGCCACATCTTCCCACCCACACTGAGATCTCACCTGCCAGACCCTCTTGGCCTGCAAATCCTCTGATGTTAGGATCAGCTGCATCAGGGATCAAAAAGAGACCCACAGGAAAGGAGAGCTCTCTTGTGCTGCAGCTGAGTTGAGAAATACCTCATATAAGATGAGATACTGTGGTCTGAGTGTTCCTCAGTCACTTCCTATTAACTAGCAGATTTCTAACAGTGAGAAAGAAACATATCCTGGTTCCTGAGGACAAGATCCAGTGGAGGTAGAGAGTGGGAGAAAACAGCATTCCTATAGAAAATGACAATCATTTGTTCCTTTTCTAGCTGTGAAAATGAGCTGTACTGTTTTAAGACATTCCTACTAGTAGCATACTTTCCACAGCCATGAAGAATGCAGTATGCTAAACATCCCACCTGCTATGATTAACTGGGACATACTTGGTGTGTAGGCAAAGTTCTACATAACTAAGTCAAAAGGTGGTAACGCTAAGTGTGCAGTTAAAGAGCAGTAGGTATCCTGTTGTGTGCCTACTGTAAACTTTTAGTAATAAGGTAGCTTAGCCCACAAAGAATGTGTACCTCAGGATGCTGGAAAGTGGCATAGCAGCCATTAGTGAGAAGCTGAGGGAGTAAATTCACTCCCAGCTGACTGGACAGGCTGATCTGGCCACCCTCAAAGGGGATTTGAGTCAAAATCCTTTATTACTGTATTCAGCCTTTCTTTCTCTCCTCCAGCACTGTAATGAGGTTTATTGGAGAGCAACTGCATCTTCCCTTACCAACTCCCCTCCTTTCCCTCACATGTTCTGCTGCAAAACATGCTGTAGTTTACTACTTAGAAAAATGAGGGGAGGGAGAACACATGTTAAGGTTTCTTTGCAGCGCATGCACTTAAGGATAACCTGCAACTAACTCAGGTTTTTTCAAATGCAGATACAAACCACCAGAAGCTGGGCCTGACAGGAAGGCATGCTCTGCTAGCCAGCTTTCAGGCCAGCTTTAAAGAAGGTCATGGTTATCCAGATGGTAATAGCCATACCTTACCTTATCAGCCTCCACAGGCCACCACTTAACGAGGTGTATCATCGCAGTTACAAAGAATGGGAGATGTTTTACAGATACAAAGACAGGTGAATGTAGGTATCTGCATGTGAGCTAGGTGGTATGTTCCCCCTGTATTCAACGGAGGTCTGGTCATTATAGTGAGAGAAGACTAGGGATATGCATAGTTCACCCTACCATAGATACCTGCATAGAAGCATAGAATCATAGAATGACAGAATAGTTTGGGTTCGACCTTAAAGATGATCTAGTTACAACCCCCTGCCATGGTGAGGGACACTTTCCACTAGACCAGGTTGCTCCACGCCCTGTCCACCCTGGCCCTGGACACTGCCAGGGATAAGGCAGCTGCAGCTTCTCTGGGTGACCTTGTGCCAGTGTCTCATCACCCTCATGGTAAATAATTTATTCCTAATATCCAATCTAAATCTACTATTTTTCAATTTAAAACCATTACCTCTCATCCTGTCACTAAACTCCCTGATAAAATGTCCCTTTCTAGCCTTCTTGTTGGCCCCTTTAGGCTGCTCTGATGTTTCCCTTGAGCCTTCTCTTCTCCAGGCTGAACAAGCCCAGCTATCTCAGCCTGTCTCCATAGCAGAGGTGCTCCAGCCCTTGGAGCATCTTTGTGGCCTCCTCTGGACTCACTTCAGCAG